AGATGGGAAATAATAAAGGGAGACAAAATTAGACCTTGCTATTGAATCTTCACGAAAATTAATTACTTGACAATACCTTTTTCTTCATTAAACCATTCCTCGCCTGACGTAAACATAATGATCCTCAACTTCAAGCAATTTTCCTTATTCCTTCTCAGCCAGACTCGTTTCAACTAGAATCTACAGCTGCTGGTTTATTCCGAAAGCTCATCAAAATATTAATGAACACAAAACCCAAGAAGTTGCAAGATAAATGGCTTGAAGTTTTTGCTTTCCCAGTCACTGCACGGTCACATCTGAATCTGCTTTGTCTTGGTTTATGATTCGGCATTTTGGAACAGCTTTTTGTAACATGGACGTTCCCTCGAAAGTCATCATCTGCCAACATATTTTCCTGTAACTCAAAAGCTGCAAGACAACACGAAGGAGTAACTAAAATTATTTATTATGTTGCAAAATATTTTTTTCTGGGTCAAAAAGATACATGGCCAGTTGCCTACCTGCTCTTGAGGAATCTGTCCAAATCCAAACTTTTCTGTCCAAATTGACTTTGCATCATCAGCAGCTGGGAGAACAAGGCTTTTTACGTTCAAAAATGCCAGCAATTTCTCAATGCACGAGTACAGTATTTGAAAATATCCCTGCAAAGAAGTTTCAGTTCCAACAAAAGAGTGCTTCAGCTAATTCTCAAACACTAAAGAGCACCAGTTTTCTGGCACGCAAAAATTTAAATAACACGAAAATCAAGGCAAACCAAAAACTAATGACATGAATTGATGAAAAAGAAAATAACAATTGGACAAAGCGTCTTTGCAAGCATTTCAGAACCAGTATATAGATTCAGAAGATCTAAACTATTTTCATAAATTGTCGAGAAAAGGGGGTTATGAAAGTATTTGGAATGAGCGAAAGACCTACCTTGCCCTGATTACCACCACGTGTTGCAGCCAATGGAAGTTCAGCTACTTCTTGTCCAAAAATCCGAAGGATGACGGCTGATACAACTGCTGAGCTGCAGATATTTGCAAAAAAACTGTTGATGGCCAAAATAATATTGTCAACACCTAAAATAAATGAGGATGAAAAAAAATCCTACTTCACCGTCAAAATAGCACAATACATTCCACTGAAGTCTTGACCCCTTATATTCCTCCTGGCAGAGAAAAGCAAGGAAGAAACGTACCAACAAGGACAAAGAGCGAAAAAAATTATGAGTCAACATGATTAATGCTAGATATATCCAAGAAATAAAGCTTGCTAATAGATAGCAATAAAGAACTGAGGCATACCCATAAACTAAAGCAGGTATGAAGTCCCGTCCAGTCTCTGAATCAACAATTGGGTCAAAAGAATCCTGAAAGGCAGTCATGGTACAACATGTTGCTTAAAACTTGACGGACGAAATAAAAAGATTCATCAACAATGTTAAATTTAAAGCACATTAAGATATTAAAAAAGTCATGAGATGTAAGAAAATAAACCTAATAAGCAAAACCCTAACTCGTAATAATAATATTACTAGAGGAGGCGGTTGTTCTAAAACATGCACGAAATTACTTTGGCATTATGTTAAAGTTTGTCTCTAAGCTGGCGTGATAATATCCGTCTTTTCATAGTTATATCAAAATCAACTTCATTTTGTAAAGCAGTAACGTTTTATTTTTGAAAAATTACTCAAACCATTCATAGAGTTGTGATCTTGACCTCAGTGTTTGATACGCTGACCCGAGTCCATTCACATATTATCATGAAATCCTGCTAATAGAGTACATCAAATTACAATAAAATAATCCTTACATGAAATATAGCTACAGCCTGCGACAGTAGCACCCTGGTTTCTCGAGAAGTAACTTTCCCGTTCAAAAGTCTCCATCTCACGTCAAAATCAATATCAGCCTCAGGAGTATTTTCCATTAGCTTCTTCTTTATAATCTCCAAAGACGAATCAGGAAGCTTTTCCGCACCAGCATTCAGCAAATTCTGCAGAGCAGAATATACCCACTTGCAGTCTGCAGTGCAGAACCATTTTCCTTTTGGAAGTTCCTGTGCCCATGTGGAATAAGTTTACATGATTATAAGCACATGACTGCCCAACAAGGGATAAACAAATATAAATGGACATGCTCACCTTTAGATCAGCCATCTTGCATTTTTTCAAACAGCCTACATGATATTCTTTTTCGCACTGGAAGACATAATTATGTTGAGATTAGTGTATCCACATAACAATCGATGAGCAAAGGCATGAAGTGTACCTGATCACACAAGATAACAGTCCGTGGACCAAAACCAGTTTTACTAAAATCATAGCCCCTGAAAGCACCAAAAAAGTGCATTCATAAACAAATAATTAGCCACTACCTTTCAAACTGCGCAAACCAAAATAAGGTTAGCTTTATCCAAGTGCATTACCTGCAGATCACACATGCAATCACTTCAGCTTCTTCCGGACTCTTCACATGGCGTGTGCAACGATTTCTCATTTCCTCTATTGAATCAATACCAGAAACTCTGCCTGCTGCAACAGCATTGGCATTCCACTGAACGAATCTTTCCCTCTGGAACATATTCTGACAATATGTACAATACCATTTACCACGAGGGATGCTTGACAGAGATGCACACTCTGGATTGTAAGATGAGGATAAATGTCATCCAACTAGGAGTACACCAAATTGTTAGCCTCTAATATGTAGAAAGCATTTTATAAGGAAATTTTCAAGATTAACAAGCAGGAAGAGAACATGGCTCTAAACTGAACCCATCACTTATTATCCATTCAATTGTTCTCAAGTTGGCACCAGGCATGCTAACATATACTGGAAGGTACGAAGTCAGAAAAATTTAGCAGCCAAATGTATTCATAAATGCCTCAAATAATGCCAAAATTGCAATAAAAGGAGATCTAATAAGAATTTTTCCAGGCGACAGATAAGAGTTTAAGTTTACTTGCAAAAAGAAGAAAAGGACAATATCAATCTAATCTTGCAATATCCTAACCACCTTTGTGAAAGGCCCTTGGACAGCCGTCACAAAGAACAAGCTTCCCACCATCTGCACATATGATGCACAAGTCATCATTGTCTTTGGAAGAATACTTGCGCCCTTTTAATAGAGAGACCGCATATTCATGGAGAGACACTCCATTAGACGTGTAAATGTACATATAGCTGCCGAATTACAGATCACATCAGAACTTGACAAGAGGTGTTGGATACATGTTAAATACTTGAGGATAAACTAAAGAGACATACGGTTTTCTGCGAGAGGCCCGTCCAGCATGAGCTTCAAACAAAGATGGACTAACCTGCTCATAGTGGTAAAATTATATAAATATACTTTTAGAAACCAGGTATTTTAGATGCGAAATCAACTGTTACCAAAGTGCTGCAGCAGCGGCAAATTATTCCAGATCCCATCTTATAACCATCACGCAATAGCTACAAACAGATGCAAAGTGGATTACGATGCTAAAACAGCAGCAAAACAGATCATAAAATATAACATCATTTGAGAACCACCTTGCCATTAGAATAGTAAGCAACTTCTGTGCCGTCTGGTAATCCACCTTTCTCGAAGACCAATCTATGCATTCTCTGATCCCTGAGGCGAAGGTCAGCAAAAAACAACTAAGGTTTTCTCATATGCCTAAAGTAGTTACTATACAGAATACACAGGAGACCATCAAAGTTAATGTGCTTACTTTTTAGTTATTTTCAATGAACTCATTGATTGAATAGAGCCGGAAGGAGATCCACCTTTCGAAGACTTGGAGAGTGATGTAGTTTTTGAATTTCTGAAAGGCCTACAGTGGAATATTTTAAATACAAAATTAAGTACAAGAGTAGTTACATCGAGATACAAAGAGAATAAGCATAATCACCAACTTCTTTATGATCTTTCTTGTAGACTTAATCTTCACTGAGCCATGCATGGAAGTCCTAACATGTGAAGTTGAATCGTAGCAACCCATTGAAGTACTTTCTGATGACTTTTCCACAGAAGCTGACTTTGACAACCTTAGCACGCCAAACATGAATCGTCACAAAAGGATGACATTCTTAAAAGATGAACATATACTTAGTTTAAGAAAGTAAGATCAACCTACAAAAAAATTACAAAAAAAAAAAAAAAAATACATTTTTAAAATATTCCTTTGGCTCTTTTTTCTCGTTGCATGCAACAAGGATTTTCCGGTAGATGTCGCATGATTTGTCAACTCTGAATGCCTGAAATGCAAACGTATAAAATAATTAAAATTTCTATTAATCTCCAACCACCAAAAATAGTAAATAAACAAATCTAGCAACAAAATGAAAAATGTGAAGAGAGAGAAGATTCAAACTTTCTCTTTTTCCTCCCTCGCCAACCCCTTTTCTTTGGCGAGTTACGCACTTCACTATTTTCAGGCATTCCCAAGGCAAAATGTTTCTCCCAAGGACTGCAAGACTCAGCCACATAGATATGAAATTAAGAACATGAATTTATAAATAGTTCGTACCTACATGTTTATAATTTATAAACGAATATAGAGGATAAAATAGAATAGCTGCTCTTTACTTAACCCCTAGACAAAAACTCAAACAGCATGTCAAATACTGCTAAATGAAATTCAAATTTCAGACAATGACATCCCAAAATTAAAGGAAACATAAGCTATTTGTCTTTTGCAGAGACTTGAAGCCAGTGGAATATTGAGTTTAATTCAAACATTTGCATTTCCAGGGCTCCAGACTCTGCCTGAACCCATCAAAGAAGTTTTTTTAAGTCATCAATCATACTACGTGCCCACCTTGGTTCGTATATAGCACCTTCTGATCACTTATCACAAGATATGCAAAAAACGCCTACCAAGCGTCCAAGAGAGTAGAGAGATTTCTTTCTGTTTCTTTTTGTCTTATTTCTTTATATTTTTTTCTTTTTAAAAAATACTTACATCCCTCATCAGGTGCGTGTGAAGTTATGCACACGTAAAACAAAACAATGGTAAAAAGAGGAACCAATGAGTAGGCTACAAAGAAAATAATTCCACAATAGTTCACTGTAAGATAATACATACCTTGATTTTTCACAATCAGTATCAAATTCTGAATTTAGAATAATCACACAAGAATCACAGAGTCGTTCCACCTTTGCAGCTGACGTTGCAAGAAAATTCCCTACAACCCAAACAGCACCAAGCAGTCCCTTAGAAGTGATTACAGCAAACACACTGGAGATTAATGATGACAAAACACATAACACAGACACACACCCAGTGCTAAACATTAGAAACTCACTCTTGCAGTTTGAACAAATGACTGATTCCTTCACAGGCAAAGGCCCAACGAAGTTTCGAATAGTCTGTTCTAATGCTTTTACGGTAGATTTACGGCATTCTTTGACCACTTCCAAGAGGCTCTTTCCATTCTCCAAGCATATATACTGAGATGCACGTCTATATGATTTGCTGGCATGTATCTCGAATTGACAAGGCGGGACTACCTACACAGATCGAAAATATCATTGATCTTGGAGCCAAGTGCCCAGGTGTAATACATACACGGCAAAGAACAAAGGCCCCAAACTAAATATTAAGCACGCACCCGAGTTCCATTGCACAAACTGCAAGAACAGAGGATCCCAGTATCTTTTATTGTTCCACGTAGTGGGAATCCCTAGAAAAAAATTTAAATCAGTACAATCTCAAGGAAAACCACTCATTGTTGTACTAAACACAAGATGCAGATTCCAGATTATCTCTAGAGCTGGATTAATTATAGATCAAACAATAGCAAAAAAACTTCTTTTTCTGATTAAATCAATCCAGATTGTATAATTACGACCATTGACTATACTGACTAGTAGTTTAACCATTATACTTTATTTCTTCATTTTCATGGAATCCAACTATTATATATACAGAACTCAAAAAAAGTAACACCGATCACATCAGAATAAAAGTGATAACTCAACAATAAAACAGTAATGCGAAAGAAGGGTTTTCAAACTTAATACCCTCTTGCCACCATTGTAGACTACCGGATATCCTTCCAGTAACCCAGTCTCGAAAAGCTCTCTAACTGTCGTTGGCAGCCCTTTCAAAAGTATTTGCTTTGGCATCTTCATCTCCACCTTTCTCGTTTCGAGACTACCCGACACTGCTAAACTTTCACACGCAAAACCATCCGCCTCCAAAATCACAGCGTCTCTTAAATTCCCGTTCTCTGTTTCAGAGTCGTCTTTCATTTTAAACACAGGACGCATAAACCTCCGTACAAACGTCTCCTCTTTTACTTCAATCTCCATCATTTCATCCTCAGAATCCCCTCCTTTAACCCCCGAAGTCTCTATACTACCCTCAGCCCCACCATTTTTGAGAACTTGACCACCAACCAGAACAGCATCGCTGTCCGAATTCACGCCCTCCTCAGCCTTCACCAAAATATCCGAATCCTTCTGGAGTTTATTCAAATATCCAACTCCACTTACACACCTATCGTTCAACCTCTTGCTCCTGGAATACACGGCGAAACCCTTGGCCTCGCTCGGCCTAACTCTGAGCACATTGCAGTGGTCCACACAATCCCAAGCGTCCGGATCGGGGCGAGCCGAATCACTGTGGCTGAATTCGGGCCCGGGCCCGGGCCCCTGCAGCTCGATTTCGGATCCAGGTTCGGGCTTCATTACAGCTTCTTACGGTCCTCCGTCCTCGAGTACCTCAATTCACCGATGCCAACACAGCAAAGGGTGATGGAACAGAGAGAATTCCGGCTGTGGATCTGTGGGAAAAGGGTAATCCGGCTGCATGCATTAGAGGATCAAACGGTGGAGCTTTCTTTCGAATTTTCGAGAACAAAAATCAAGTTCTCTGGTATCCAGACAACGCCTATGAAACCCTACAGGGATGGAAGAGGAGGAGAAATTGGCAGTGAGTGTGAAACAAGACGATAGTGATTGAGANCGTCGCAGTTGGCGTCTGGCGGTAGAGTCACGGCGGAGGGCTGTTCTCCTGTGTGTGTATGTGTGTGTGTGTGTGTGTTGCTTAGATCTGAAATCGATTGGTATAATGGAGGAGGATGATGAAAGAGAAATCCATATTTAATTGGTGGGTGGGTCCCACATAATATATGTGTATTGACCAACTTATCCCTAATTATTGGTCAAATACACATAATTGACCATACTATGATTAAATAATTACCAAATTGCCATTAATGATTGACCAGAATTTGACTTAATCATCACCATTGGTATGATGTATCCAATGGTCCAAATTCATTCTTATTTCTTTCACTGTGATTCATTCTCATTTGAGCGCACTTCTATATATATATATATGTATATATATATGTCACCTCATTAGATAATGTTTATCAGCTCATCTTATCGATCAAATTTATCACCTCATTAGATAATGTTTATAAATTAAAAATATGGAATAAATATGTAATATAATTTACCTATATTAATTTATTGAAAATATTATATGGAATTTAAATTGTGCAAAATTACATAAAACATGTCTATTTAAAATTAGTACACAACTTGTTTAGTGCACGTAACTGATAATAAATTACATTAAATTCATTTTAAAATAAGTATCTTTTTAAAAAATTTATTTAGAAATTCGATTTGACTAAAATGTGATTCTATAAAATAATTATTTTAGTAAAATTTTGTCATATGTTTAAAAATCTATGTGAATTATAAGTATAATTATAAAACTTATATTGTTTCATTAATTAAATGAATTTATTTTTGTATAAACTATCCAAATCAAAAAATTTAAGTAGTTGAGTAATTTATTAAACTATAAATAATTGACTATTTCATTTATGTCCAAGTTAATATTGACCCGTAAGTTATGAATAATATTTTATTTGAATTTTAATTTGAAATCCAAATTTAGACTACACAATAAATTTACTTATATTATATATATATATATATATGTGTGTGTGTGTGTGTGTATATTATATAATATATATATATAATATATATATATATATATGTGTGTGTGTGTGTATATTATATAATATATATATATATACATATTATCTCACAATTTTCTAGATTTTTTGTCGATCACCATATCGTTCAAAAATAAGTAACTGGTAATAAATTACATTACATTTATTTCAAAATAAGTGTGAATTAAAAATAATTTTTCAGTATTTTTGGACATGAAGAGATAAGGGTGCAATATATAGAGAGAAAAAATGAAATGATTTTTTAAAAAAAAATAAAAGAAGATAATTTTGAGATTTAAATGGATATGAGATAACAAAATATATTATATAAAAATAATAAAAACATTGGTTTATAAGTGAATCTCTTAAACAGGAAAGAGGAAAAGTGAATCTCTCTCTCTGCGAAGAAAAGGGGAAAACCTAACCTAGCTCGCCACGAAGAAAAGACGTTGATTTGCCTCCCTTGGCACCGGTGGGGCTTGACCAGGGGTCGCCCCTAACTGCTCCTCCCGTTCTGGACTTTCGGTTCCCCGAAATTGCTGCGGCTTGGTTAGAAATGGCTCTCAATCGACAGCGGATTAGCGTGTAGAGGTGCCGTCTTCTTGGTCGGATTCCGGTCGATTTTGGGTGGCTCTGCTTCCCAGTCGCTGGCGGACCTTCGATGGTGGATGGTAACCCCTCTGTTTCCCTATTTTTGGCTTTGATTGACTTCATCTCCGTGAGTTTCTGTTTCTGGGGGAGCTTCCGATGGAGTTAGGTTGTTGGTCGTCGGGGTTGTGGTGGTTTTGGTGGTGTGTGTTCTGAGGATGGGGCGAGGTCCCGGCTGCTGCGGCGTTCGGGGTAGAGAAATCGTGCCATCTCCCCTCCGCCCCCGTTCGTCTAGTGGTGTTAGGCGGCGGGGGTCCAGGGACCTAGTTTCAAGTGGGCTCGGCTAGTGGTGTTACACGGGTTCGGGAGGGGCTGCTGGGGTTGGCCGTTTTTCTCTCAGTTGGGGGTGGGTGGATTCGGGGAAGGGTTCGGGGCTCGGTTTCGGCTACTGTATAGGCGGTTGCGCAGTTTCGGTATTAGTTTCTCTGGCTGGGACTCCTTCTTGTGTCGTTCGTTCACTGCTGGTGGGGACTGCTCGTTTGCTGAGGGAGGGCTGTTAGTTTTTTAGTTTTATTAGTTTTTGTTGTTTTGTACTGTTTGTGTTTGTATTTGTGTCTAGGTTTGTATTTTTGGTTTGAGTCGTTTGGCCTCTGTGCTCCGGGTTGTCAAATTTATTATCCTGTTGGGATCCGACACTCCGGTATTACTCTGTTGGAGTCTTTTTTAGTTGTGTTAGTTTTTGTTAGTTTGTTAGTGTAGTTGCGAGTTTGTCATTCTAGTGTTGCTAGACGGTTCTAGGCGATCTTCGGATCTGCCTCTCAATTTTATAATCTCTGGTTGTACTATTTAGCCTTTGGCTGGTTTCTTTTCGCACTTTGTGCGGTTTTATTAATATAGTATTTCTATCGTTTCGGGAAAGAAAAAAAAAGTTTGTAATTAGATAATTATACAACTTCAACACGTCTAAAAATTTTTATATTCAAATATCATATTTTAAATACACGAATATATTTTTATATTCGTGAATTTGTAAATCCCCAAAACTAACTCACAATAATTGCAGTAAGATGTGAAGATTAATTTATGCATATTTAGTTAACTATTAAATACACATTCATGTTTTAAAATAGATAAAGAACACAACGTCATTAAATTTCCATAAAACTAATTTATATACATAAAATCAAAATATAAATCTAACACAACTAACATCTTGAATCAAGTTAATGGATGTCTTTAAGCAACTTGAATCAAGTTATGCGTAGACGTTATTATATTCAACATGATCATATTTATTTTTTATTTTTTAAAAATTTCCCACATATTTTCATTAATGAAATCGGACAAATTAACATACAACAAAATGAATATATCAACAAATTGATCTCCCACTACCGATTCCATTAATGATGACTGAATTAGTATGAGGAAATAATTAAAGCATCTAACATAATCATAATATTCTATTTTATTTTTTATTATATATATCAAATTTATTACACGAATTTGGTTCAAATGAGAATTAAGTCTTAGCGTTAGAACCGCTATTTTTAATTGTATGTAGTGCTATGATTGATTATATGCTAGTGCTATTTTTAATCATGATGTATTTTATTAAAAATAGCAACACAATTTATGTTAGTATTTGTAAAAATGATAGCACCATGTGAGATTAAAAATAGCATCATACACAATTAAAAATAGCATCATACACAATTAAAAATAGCATCAAATATGGTTCTCACGGTTCTCACACTAGGACTAGTTTTTATTTGAACCAACCCCTATATTACACATTGCCAATATATTATATACCAAATTTAAACCATGCAACTAATATAGTAATAGCCGCAATATTTGACCAAAATGATTTTGTAAATAAATTTTATTGACATTTTTAATTTGAATTTCAAAAAATTGACCGTCACTTTTCAAAAATTTTCAAAAAATTACTAATAAAGGTAAAAATGACAATTTTAAGTGGGATTTTAGTTTCTATTTCAGGTAAATATCAAACCTTTTTATATTTATATAAATATAGATTTACTGTCACATATTAGTAACACATTAAAATTAAATACACACATTATAATTAAATGAATCTACTCAATCTAAAAACACTACTATCTTTTAGTTTCAATCCTCAACATACATATAATTTTGATTGATATAAATATCTCTTGACACTTGTTTATTAAGAGGTAGGGGAGATATTCAAGTGGAACCAAGTCGAGCCGGCTCATTTATTAAACAAGCTGAAGTTTCAGTTCGAGTTCGACTTGTTTAGCTAGTAAAAGTTCAACTTGTTTAATGAACCAAAAATAGTAAAAGAGTTTTTTTTATAAACATGAGTTGTGCTTTTGCGAACATACTTAGCTCGACTGTTTATTCGAACCCTAAAAAAAATAAGTAGCTCGAGCTCAGCATGTTTAATTGTCTAGCTCAACTCATTTAGTAAGTGATTCGATTAGTTATTCAAGCTTGGGTCATTGAAGTAATGAAGGAGTTAGCCTCGAGTTTTCACGATTCGAAATAAGTTGTATTCACAAAGTCCTCTTATAATAACAATTCTATTATAAGGCAATTCGAGTAATACTTGGATCCGAATAATAACTCTATTTAATAGTGACAATTCAAATAACAACTCTATTACCAGGCTACAACTAATTGCTCTTACTCCATCACATAACTTTATCAACCACTAACCATAAAACCATTTCATTGTCTACGCTCTTCTAGGGGTGTTGAATCGGTTTGAAACCGAACCAAACCGACCGAAATTTCAGTTTGTCCAACATGAAAACTGCAAATCGAATCGTAATTTGTGGTTTGGTTCGATTTCAGATGGAAAATCAATCGATTGGATCGATCCGGTTACCGATTAGACAGTAAAATGGAGAAATTTAAATAAATATAAAAAAATCTACCAATCAAAGGTAACTTGTCCAAAAATACAAGTCTGCCATGTCTCATACACATCATACTAGGTGTTCTAAGTCTATCAAGTCTCTCATATGTATACGCACACATGATATAAAATAGGGAGTGTTCTAGGAGACGAGCATATTTTGAGAGTTGTCGAATTGGTATATACGATTAAGCTCACTATTTTATTTTTATTTTAGTTTGATTATTTGTGTAGGAAAATAACATGGGCATAGGCTAACTGGTGGAATTATGTTTTTTCTTCTAAATTCTCTTTGTATTAATGGGCCTGGTCATCAACGAGTAGTTGTAAAATTCTTGGCTTGCTCATCAACCTACAAGTCCCATCACTGTAAAATTTGGTTTGTAAATGTTGTAATTGTTAGTGTATATATTGAAAGCCTGACTTTTTAGTTATAAACACTATTATCAGTTGAATAAGAATCATGTCTAATTAAGCGTTTCTATATTCCGATATTTTACAATTAGATAGATATGGTTCATCATGAATGAACAAAAGGACGTACTATTACTTGTAAAACATAAAAGGAGGATTTTGACTTTGGAGCTTTTTTTCGAAAGAGAACAGGGGCAAGAGGAGATAGAAAGTTGAGTGCTTTACGAGATTAATTTGATTGATGTCATGCCATTTTATTCATCCGAGTGAATTTATTTTAGGAACCAAAAATAGTTTTCCCAAAATTAAACAAATAAAAAAATAAGCAAGATAATCAAAGGAATACAAGAATAAACGAATATCTCATAAGATTCTATTGCCAGGAAATGAAAATAAAACAAAATAACATATCCAGTGATTTTTTTTTTTTTTTATTTGTCTAAAAACAAACGTACAAGTGGTGTAGTTGACTTACCTAGACCCTTTTATCAAACAAAATGAGTTGTTTTAAATTCGGCTCTCACTCGTTAAAACTCGAGTTGGTTGAACTTGTTTATGCTTCGAGCTATTAGTTAATGTGTCGAGCACATCTTGAGAAAAAAAAGATTTGAGAATAGAGATTTTTACATAAATATTGATTTTTCGAGTTGCTTAACTTGTTAAGGTTCAATTTCAACTATATCTATGACACCTCCAAGTGCATTTAAAAGATCCAATGTGTAAAATTTGAACAAATAATATGGTCATACAAGCAAAAATTGTATACATCAACACCATAATCCAATTAAGAATCTCTCCAATTATCAGTTACAATATTACCAAGATCCAATAATAATCCAATATATATATTAATTATTGAAAAAAATCGCGCCTTACAAATTAATTAAAAAAGAAAATCAAACTCATCACGCGAGAGACAAAGGAACACCAAATATAGGAAGTGAACTATAAAATGCCAAAGGATAGAAGTTGCCCTACACAACAACAATAGGCCCACCACCTCTAATTAGCTTAGCTCCACGGACGCCGGCGCCGGCGCTTCCGGCGGCACAGTCTCCGCCATCGCCGGAAATAGGGGAGCTGCCGGCTGCTGGTAGAAAGAGGTTTTTGGTGAAAGTTAGGAGGGTTTGGTGAGGGAGCTTGATTTGTTAGTTATATATAAGAGAATATTTTTAAAGTGACGAGTGCAATAAAAGAATTAGGTGGCTGTGAGTAGGAAATTTTAAGTTCAACTTTTATGGTTAAAAGTGAGGAACAAAAGAGAGCATTTGGAATATGCCATTGGCATATTTTTATTTTTATTTTATTATTTTTTTTATGGTTGGTTTATTTGCCTGTGTTGCCAGCACATTTTTTATTTTTTATTTTTTCCCTTTGTTTTTTTTTTAAGTAATTTCGTACTAGTGCAGACTACATAGATTGTTGCGAGCAATTTCTTACACATAGGTGTGTACAACTGGAGCTGTTAGATTTAATGGTAAAAGAATCCAAAATAGTGCAATCCTTCACAATTTTTCCTAGATTTACTTGAAAAATGAAGTATAGAAGTCAAAAATCATGACAATTTCGACATTTTTTTTTTCTTTTTCTCGACGTTGATTGTTTTTGTTGTGGGTTTTACTGTTTTAGCCATTAGGTAGGAATTGGTTGTGAAAGACTTTTTAATTTTTTTTGGTACAATGAACCTTCCGGTTTCCGAATCCCCTAGGGGACCGACTAATCCGAAATCGAGCCGGGTAGGACCACAAGGGCTGCAAAGCTCTACCTCAAGAGTTTTAACACAACTGCATTCTCAGGGCTCGAACTCGAGACCTCTGGTTAAGCTGGGAGTGCTAACTAACAGTATATACATTGTATAACTCAAATTTTTGTATAGGGACACTTATGGAAATTGTGATAAATCTGATTTCACGTGAACCACTTTCTTCCTCCTCTGCTTGCTTTGAGCTTCATAACAAGATCCTCACGTTGGGACTCGACTTCTGCATACTTTAAGCTCATTTGCAAGTAGCGTTCTTTGAGTTCTCTGAGCTCGGTCTCGAGTGATGATTTTGTTCTTTCGTACCTTTCCTTTGTCACTACCTCACCATTAGTAGATGGCTTTTTAGAAGAAACAGAATTGTACTTGTGACCTGCTGAGTTACGACTTTTTGCGCCCTGAAGAACATTAAAATTTTTCATATGCATAAACTTGAAAGAAAAAAAATGCTCTGTAGCAAGTCATGAGATTTTTTTTCATGTAAATATGTAATCCCCTTTAATTTTATAGAGAAAATGCCACAAAGAAAGAATGTATGAAGTACCTCTTTATGAAGTTTATTATTATTATCCCTCTCCTTCATCAACTTTAGTTCCTCTTCAAGTGCTTGTGATTTCTTTAAGCTCTCGATATTCTCCTCCTCGAGTCTACGAACCTTCATCCGAAATCGCTCGTTTTCTTCCTTTATATTGCGCAGCTCGTCATTAAGTTCTTCATTCTTGGTGGAAACTGTCTCTTTCGCGCTCTCCACTTGACGAAGCTTTTCTTGTAGGACTAATGTACTTCTCTTGCATTCATCGAAATCAGAAATAGCATCTTGAAAAATCGATATTTTTTCACGAAGCAATAAATTTTCGGCCTCGAATTCTTCCGAATCATTAGAAACTATCTTCAGCGAATGCTCTAGTTTTCCCTTATCAGCTTTACATCTTTCGAGCTCATCTTTTAAGATTGAAATTTCATCTTGCATTTGAGCCTTCAAAGTATCCATTTCTTTCATAATTGTCTGCCTTTCATGTTCGGACATTGTACGATTTGATTCGAGCTCATTCAGTTCAATCTTCAATTTCTCTTCACTTATTTTGTAATTTTCATGTTCAGCCACCAGATTCTTGTGACTTTGTTCAGAAGAAGCTAGCTGACCTGTCAAATCTTCAATTTTTAACTCATATTCTCGCACTGCCGCTTTCAGTTTATCTTCGATGAGCTCGGTTTTCGACCGAGCTTCCTGAAGTGAATCTCGAAGCTTAGCCTTGTCGTCTATCAGATGCGAAATTTCACGAGAGGCTTTCGTATTTGAGTTCTGTAAATTTATATTCTCCTCTTTAAGGTACTCACACTCTTCTTGAGCTCTGGACAGTTGACTCTCCAAATCTTGGGATTTTCTTTTGAGTTTCTCAATATCGTCCTTAAGACTCTTAGCCAAAGATTTCGAATGCTCTCTTTCTTTCATACATTCGTCTTTCAATCGCGTAATTTGACTTTCCAGACCCGATACATTCTCCCATAACCGAACATTTTCTTCCTGCATTCCCGATAAATCACTTTCCAACTCGTTCTTTTTTCTTTCTAACGCTTCTAAATTCTTCTCAACCTCGGTTTTAACTGAAACTCGAAATTTATTCTCACTTGCTTCGGACTCGTCACTCGGACAAACATTCGAGTCAAAAGAACATTTTTCGATTCCCGCGATTTTTTTCAAATCCTTGAGCTTGAACAAAAGCTCGAGATTCTCATCCGTGAGCTCCCCACAATCCTTTTCCAACTCTCGAATTTTTCCTCTCAACATTTCGTTTTCTCTAACGAGATCCGAATTGTTCTCGTTATTATCATCCAACGCCTCGAAATGATCGCCCTTAACATAACCCGACAAAGTTGCCTCTAAACTCGCAATCTCCTCTTCTTTTGCAGATAACTTAAATTCGAAATCTTTTTCGAGAAGCAACAGATTTTCTCTGTTCGACCTTCGCTCGTTATCCAAATCATCGGTTTTATCTCTCAAGACTTGCTCGAGCAACTTAAAATCGGCTTCCAATTTCTTTAGAGACGAAAGCTTCTCTATCTCGATCCTCTGTTGTTCTATGGTCTGCTCAAGCTCTTGAAGAACAGAAACAAGCTCGATATTCGACTCCTGGCTTATTTTAAGTTGGTGACCGATATTTTCATTTAAATCTTGCTGATATTTCATTTCATTTTCCAATACCTTCTGCATCTGACTCAGATTTTCGGATTTGGCGATCATATCTTGAGTACACTGATTCTCGCTCGATTTTTTCAACTCGAGCTTTAACTTCTCCACTTCTCTATTTAGGCTGTCGTGCTCAGCACGCGCGGCCGACAGCTCGATTGTTAATTCCGAGTGTTTTTTCGAGACATCGGAAAGTTCTTTTCTCGATAGGTCCAAATCAACCATTAGCTTCCTCGCGTTCCTCTCCCACATTTTGGCTTCGGCCGTGCGTTCGGAAGCTTCTAGAAGGTTCTTTGAGGAAGCAATGTCGTAGATGCCCTCTACTTGATTTCCAAAAAATTTACACTTTTCACTCTCGAACGAACGTTGGGTCGATAGATTTTCTCCCAAAATGGACCCCTCCATTGACTCAATAGGCGAGGTTTGACTTGTTTCCTGCAAATAACTCGTAAAATCGAAAGAATTGAATGTTTGCCATTTAGGCGGGAAAAAAGAAAACAAGATGTTAAATCACCTTGCTATCTAACTTTCTAGGACTTGAGGTCGCTGCCAGGTCAGCAGCCCTCGGAGTACTTTCGCTTGGATTATCGGATGTGTATAAATTGGTGTCGATTTCGTGATTGAGCAAGTGTCGATCTTTTTCTCGAAAGCTTGAGCTTTTTGACTCTTCATCCCTGGACGTGCAGAAAATCTGTCAGCTCACAGATCAATAAAATCAGAAATGGAAACTCGGCCACGTGAATACCAACCCGTTTTTCGATCTCGGAATAACGCACTGAATTTTGAGCTGAAAGCCAACAAAAGACCAAAGAAAAAAGACAAGAAAAGATGTAATTACAATAATTACTATAGGGTGGCCCAAAAATTTTACAAAGTAAATTTAGGTAGTTACTATAAATGTTTCAAGTAATAGTAACCCACCTGCAAAATTGTCCCATAAATGCATTTCTTTAGAGACTGTGAAACTGCACTTGAGACTCTTGAACTTGCAAACTGTCCCAGATTTATATTTGCTTCTCCAAGAATGCTGGATCTTGTTGAGCCCTGATTTGTAAAAATAATTAATATAATTTTCTAGTTGTCTGAAAATCAAAATGTTGCAAACACTTGGACAAATTTCTACTGCTATATATAACTTTTTTGTTTAACAAAAAAGCTAAGTAAGAAGGTTTTAAGTCTTTTACCATGGACAAAATCAGCTTGACCAGGCATTCTTCATATTCTTTAGAAGAATCATCTCTTGTGATGGAGATAGATTCAGATATTGTATCTATCCATTGGCAGCTACCATTTCTAACAAGTGCTTTTCCCAATTTTGCCATTGTTCTTCCTGTTTCCACATGAATTAAAGTCACAAATAGCCTGTCCCATCCTTTTGGCACCTGCAAGGAAAATTAAAAATCTACATAGTTAACAACAATAGTTGACCTTGTTGACTCAATTCAGATCAGCATTCTATGACTGGAAAAAAAAAAAGCAAAAAGATAAGGAAAACTAGTCCATCATACTCTGTGTGTATTTTTGTTTTTTCATTTTCTGGATTTGATAGGCAATCATACATAAACAGAAACATGTCTTATGTGTCAGAATTTCTAGTGAGATTTCTACAGAAACTGCTCAGAGCACACTAAAACAGAGAAAGAAAAAGAGACAAAACATATGGAAAATTTGCACCTGAAGGGCTTGTAAATTGGAAATTTTGAAATCAACCCTCGATCTGGATTGTCTGTTACTGTTAGTTGGCCTCTGAGTCTTCAGCATTCTCACTCACTGTATGTATTTCTCTTTGTTCTCTGTCTCTGTGTGTGTGTGATTCTTGAGCTACTACTGTACAGTGAGCAGCAACACACAGGAGCAATAAAGATATCTTATGAATGAGCAAATTCTGTTATTATTACTATATAAGTTGGGTATTAATGGCTTATAGAGGGAGAGAGAAGATTAATGGAGTTAGGGGGAAATTAGCTGGGCAGTCATTGTTTTCTCAACCTCTGCACTTCTTGCAGTTAGCCTTTGGGTTGTTTCTTATGTACTCAACTTCACACTACCAACAAATGTTCAGAAAAAAAAAAGAAAAAAAAAAATCTTCACTAGATAGTTTACAAGAAAATTTTGTCTACAATGTCATGAATTTATGGAAAACTACTCCTTTTTCTTGGGGATTTTTGGTTTAGGAGATAAATATTCTACATTGATCCTCTAATGCTTAGGATGAAAGAATATATTCTTTTCTAGGCCTTGTTCTGAGTCATGACCTAACTTGATTCAAGTTCAAGAAAATGTCTAACTGGACTAGATTTTTTCACTAAAAAAGGTTGGAGGATTCGCAGTTTTGGTCCTGTTAAGTCACAACACAACCATGGAGATCTAGATCTTAATATGTAATAGTCAATTAAATATTTTCATTAATTTATTAACAAATAATACAAGTAGTTGTTCAAGTTGAAATCTACAGTGCCATGTGTCTTTCTTCATAAACATAATATATAATTAACAAACTTGACTTGAGATTAGCATGCTTTTCTTTATTCATTTCTCATTTGACAAAAAAAATTATAAAAATATAATTAAGAAACTTGACTTGAGAATTGAGATTAGCATGCTTTTTCTTTATTCATTTTTCATTTGACCGAAAAAAGAAAGCACTCATGCTGCTGTTACTTGTTTCACTACATATTTTTTTAAACAAATATGCATACTTTTAAATTTCATATCATACTTTAAAAACTAAAAGTAAAAAATATGACATTTCATAATCTAAGCATGCAATTTTGTTTAAAAAGTATGACAGGTCGATCCGCCTAACAATTAAACCGTCTCATACAAGAATTTGTGAAATAATTACTGCAGTTTATTTGTCTGCTAAGTAAAAGATGGATCAAATTATAGTAGCTGGTCCCGTCTGGAAAACTCATTTTGTCACAGGCATATAATTTAAATTGCAAATTTTAGTACAATGATTCTATTGTCTCTATCAAAGGGATTTTATGTTACTTGAATAGATGAGATACTATACAAAAAGCACGGCCAATTCTTTCCATAAACTCTACATAAATGGTAGAAGTGATGATCCAGCTTATTTTTGTCCTTGACAGCAGTAGCCCATTACTTCATTGATGGCAAAGCCTGGCCTATTAACCTTTGTGGGTTGGGCCGAGGATGAAGCCCAAAGAGTAGGGAAACCGAGACCAAACTGAAAAACCAAGCCGAACTTATAAGTCTGTCAAATTATTTTCGTGAACAAAAGTAAAATTTGAAGCAATTTGTGAAGCTGCGGAAGCTAAAATTTGCTCCATCACATGCAGAAAAGCTTGTGCATTTACAAGACAACTAATGAAAATAAATACATATTTCATGTACCTATATAGACTGGCTTTACAATGCACTTTCATATGTGAGAGGATAGCACAATCTCAACTGGACAAATTTGCCGAAACAAAATTCTGCGCGGTTTGCCTTTGAGTCAATTTCATGTATAAACCCTGCCACAAAACACATTCAAAGATTAGGTATAGTTTGCTTTGATTGTGTGTACATGTATGTTTTTACATATAATATAACTAAAAAAAGGCAGAAATATTAATGTTACGTTTGTTGTGTGTATAGTGGCTCCAGTAGTCATGCCGATAGTTTGGTCAGGGACTAACTCGAAGCTCAAGTGCTGCAAAAATACGGCAAGAGATACAATGGCTTCAAGTAAAGCGAATTGATCTCCAACACATTTACGCGGGCCCCCACTGAACGGGATAAATCTTGCAATAAGAAACAATTTGAAGTTAGAAGGTGTGGGCATAATTGATTCCTCTTGAACAGAAATATATACGATTTTTCAATAGCCACCTAAACTCCGTATTTGTTTCGTTAGGAACCGGGCCTTCTAAATCATATCTTTCCGGCACAAACTCATCTGCACTTTCCCAAACCTTCAGAAATCACAAAGAAGAAACTAATCACAAAATAGTTTACAAGAAAAAAAAAAAATGAATAAAAATTGCATCTTGAATTTCCAACTGTATTATTAAGATACCTGTGAAGAGTGATGGATATTGTACACGGAGATCATGATATCTTGACCTGCATTGACCTTGTAGTTGCCAGGTAGCACATCTGCCACCTCAGCTCTTCGTAACAAGACCTAATGAAATTCATATTCAGAGAAAGTGATATTAGATCATCAACAAGCACGTCTTTGAAAATTTAGGAATAAGCTTTTAAGCGAATAATTACAGGTGGATGAGGATATAGACGCATAGACTCCATTATACAGCGGGTCAAGAACTTCAGATTCTTTATATCTTCGTATGTGGGAAGCTGGCCCTGTAAAACTCTATCGACTTCCTCTTGTGCTTTCCTTAAAGATGATGGGTCCTAAATTATGAAAAAAATAAAATGAATTATGAGCAAGCCAGACATTAATCATGGAATTATTATTTAAAATTGTGCTATCCTTCATTTCCAGAGTTTGAATGTGAATTCCTAATGATTGAGAAGTCATAAACACGTATCTAGTTACAAGCAAAACATAATATATTTCATTGGTTTACCGACAAAAATGGAAAATATTACCATCGATATTATTGACTAGACTTGGACGACAAGTCCAATTGGCGCCTTATAAAACTTTGAAATCCTGAATTAGGCTTCTGAGATCGGAATCTTGGAAAAGAATGGACGGAGCATTTGATAGCACAAAATTCATGTGAAATATAGAAAAGAAAATAAGAGAGCTCAAACTCACACCATGAACTTATCAAAACTCCATTCAAATGCGGAAACTACAAAATGCTATCACCTTACTAAGCAGATAAGCCGTCCAAGTTAACACTGATCCAGTCGTTTCATGACCGGCAACTAACATGGACAAAAGATCATCTCTCAATTGGGTGCTCGAAACCTAAAGAAAAACATTATGGCACCTTCAGAAAACCATTTTCTTCAGAAGTAAACTCAAGAAAAAGCATGAATGAAAATAGATATGAAAGTAATTTAGATATTAATAATTAACACGATAAATGACAAAAAAATTCACATCTGTATGAGATTTGCATGTCAGCTCGAAAGCTTCCAAATACCTCTTCCCGGCTAGCAAGCAAAAACCGAAGGATGCTTGGATCTGTATCATTCACATATTCCTCCTCGTTTATCCTCTCGCCCTCACTCTCCACTATCTCTCTACACTTTCCAATCAGTTCCTCAACGTTTTGTCTTATTAGAGACACAGCTTTTTCAGCCTTAATTTGTCTAGGAATGACTTTACACAAAGCATTTATCTGGAAAAAAAAAAAGCACAATCATACATAATAAATTAATAAATGAAAGAAAAAACCATTACTGTTCTCCTAAGTCGAGGAATAACACCTGCCTTCCAATATGGCAGTAGATCAGTCGAGCGTAGCTCTGCCTCCTTTAGAGCAGTATAAACTGCATCAATAACCGGACTATTGGCCGTGAGAGAGTCGAAATTATAATTGAACAATGCAAGCCCGATAACATCGAGAGTGAGCTGTGAAAATTTTTCCTCCATATTTACAGCAGAGCCACTAAGCATGTCCGGCTTTAGCTTCTCGACTAGTTGCTCGGCACATCTGCAAAAGACCCGTTCAACTATTACCGACAAGTACTTCTTGTGAAGAGATGGGACCACGGCCCTCCGCCTTACCTATAATCAGAATAGTTATTCGCCTAAGCAGTCGATATACTCGTAATAAGCACGATCTTTTAGCCTCAAGACATTCGAACAGAAACATTTCGAATCAGTCTCTTATAAAACTAACCCATGCTATAACAAGACAATATTGGCTCCGAGCAAATTATCTCCAAAAAGGTTTTTAAGGGAAAAAAACGCAATTGCAGATCCTAATTTGACTTGCGGCCGAGAAACTCCATAGATAAAATAAACTCAGATGATCCAATTATAATCAAGAACCTGTATAATAACAATAGTAATAACAACGATAAGTACCGTCCAAAGAGAGCCTTCGGCAATTGCGAAGCCGGAGCCAAACAGGAACTCGGAAACCTCTGCAACAAGCCCCTTGGCATATTTCGTGCCATAGTTCCTCAGCACGTGCTTGGCAATGGCCGGGTCACTGACGATCACGAAATTCCTTGGCCCAGCGGCGAGGCGGTAGATGGGCCCGTACTCTTTCATCCATTTGAAGAGCGGCAGGAAGAGGGCCCCGCCGAGGAGGTCCGACACGTCCTCCAGCTTCGCGGCGGCGACGGGGATGGTGGAATCGTCCTTGGGGCCGAACGTCGTGAGGGATTTCGTGAGGGAGGTGAGCCAGTCGGGGCTAACCCATGAGGCCGGCTTGGTGGTCGGGGGTTTGTTGTTGTTGGCGGAGCATTTGACGGAGTGTGATGGGATTGGGGATGGCACGTGGCGGCCGAGGCGGCGGAGGGGACGGTGGTGGGTGATGGAAGATAGAGAGGAGAGGGAAAGCGAGGACGACATGGTGGCGGAGCGAAGCTGAATTTGGTTATAGCTTTACTGCGTTTTTGTTTCTTGTTTGTTTCGCGGCCACCATGGCCACTCATACAGCGTACCGGTTTATCTTCACTTTTCTCATTTATAGTGACTGTTTCATATTTTCATTTTCATTTTTCTTTGTGATGATACTTGTGTGNCAAAAAAAAAAAAAAATGTATATAAGAATATCACATATGCTTGGATAGACAAATCTATTAATCTATCTATATCTATATCTATCTATCTATCTATATCTATATATCTCTATCTCTATCTATCTATCTATCTATCTATATTTATCTATCTATATATATCTAGGCCTCGTTTACTAGAAACTAATACAGAGCCTGTGCGATGCACGAGGTGCACAATTTTAAGGCTATTTATTCAGACTTATAATTATATACATGAATAAAGAAAAATATACGGGATATATATAGTACGTGACCCGTGAAGCACGAGATATATTTATTTGGAAAATATTATATTATAAGATACAATATTCAATAAAAGTTTATAATGCGCAAGAAAATTGTACAATGTTCAATAAAGTTTTATAATATTCAAGTGGAGTCTTAAAGTCTCTTGTACATTAAGACTACTGATAAAATAATATTTAATCAATGAGTTTCCTTTCCTTGTAGCCAAATTATGAATGTGATTTGAGGAGTACAACAAATCGATATATAGCTACCTAATTTTTTCATTGTAGTTTTTTTTTTAATAATGAATTTAAAGATATTCTAAAATATAGCAAAAATTAATTTTTTTTATTACAATTAGGAATTTTACTAAATATAAACTCTCAATCTATAATGTTAATCAACGTTTAAGTCTAAAAAATTAGGAATTTTTACCTCTTTTAATCAACGTTTAAGTCTAAAAAACAATAGAGTTATTATAAGTTTTTTTTTACATCTTTTAAAACATTAAATATGAGCATGCTAGGGCTAGCTTGTAAAATAATTAATATATTATATCACTAAAATATTTATACTAATAAAAATTTAATTTTAGCATATAAATTTATCCATTGATATAAGAGAAAGTAACAATTTTACTTATTGTTGTTCACCATATAATATTTAATTATTATTTTATTATATAATAAAAAAAATATTGTTAAATAGTGTAGTAGAATTGTTATAAAATTATATGATTTTTTTTTACAGTATAGATTTATTATTTTTTTATGATTTGATAATATAAACAAATCTATACTTAACCTTGACAAATAAAACAAATAAATACTTTAGTAAGTATTTAATGTATATACTAAATAGGAATATATTTGGTATAATCAAATACCAAATATAATCAAATAAGTCAAAGTGTACATTTTTATTTGGTATTTGATTTTCTTATTATTAAAATCTTTTTATTATACTTACTTTTTTAAAATAAAACAAATAAATAAATTAATTAAATAAATAAAATATTATAATACTAAAATAGTAATGACATTTAATGCAGTTGACTTTTTGGGATAGTAAATGTAGTAAATAGAATCTCCTTTTATATAAGTATAGATTGTATAATACGGAAATAGTAATGCAATAAATGTTGTTGACTTTTCTTTATACTAAATCTGGTAAATGGTATACCTTTTAATATAAGTATAGATGATGGAATTGGACAAATTAATCCCTCCAATTTGCCACATCAGATTTTGGATACAAATTGTCTCATGTTTACCAAAGTGGATAAAAGTCTATGATAAATAATAAAATTACTGATTTAATTAATTAAATTTATATTTTTATAAATTAAATAATATTATTTTAAATTAAATAAAAATATTTATATTAAACAATTTTTTTAAATTAAATAAAATTAATTAAGTTAATATTTTACAGATTAAATAATATTAATTTAGATTAAATAAAGTTATTTTAGATTAAATAAAATTATTTTAAATTGTATAAAACTATTTAAATTAATATTTTATAAATAAATAATATTATTTTAAATTAAATTAAATTATTTTATATTAAAAAATATTTTTTAAATTAATTAAATTATTTAAATTAATATTTTTTAGATTAAATAATATTATTTTAAATTAAATAAAAGTATTTTAGATTAAATAAAATTATTTAAATTAATATTTTATAAGTTAAATAATATTATTTTAAATTAAGTTAAATTATTTTATACTAAACAATATTTTTTAAATTAAAAAATTATTTAAATTAGTATTTTATTGATTAAATAATATTATTTTAAATTAATTAAAATTATTTTAAATTAAATAAAATTATTTAAATTAATATTTTCTAAATTAAGTAATATTATTTAAATTAAATTAAATTATTTTATATTAAGAAATATTATTTAAATTAACTTAAACTATTTAAATTAATATTTTGTAGATTAAATAATAATATTTTAAATTAAATAAAAATATTTTAGATTAAATAAAGGTCATTTAAGACCAAAGATAATTTTATCACACCATAATGGCCGGATTTTTTTATCCCGCCAACTCATGACACGTCATATGTATCTTTATCCCAATCCTATTTAATTAACGAGGAATAAGGTTGGTTAACCAACCTTATCCTATCCTATCAAGGCTAGTAAACGAGGTCCTATTACTATTATAAAAGGACGAGTGATTTTGTAAAAATAATGATCTGCCTAAAAAACCCTCACTTTGACATATTTTTAATGAAAAATTTATAATCATATTGAATATATAAATATAAAAGGATTCTAATCTAAATTTATAATGAAAACACAAAGGCTCCAATTATATAATAAAATAATAAAAACTTGCTTTCGGCCATGTGGTGTATGATTTCTATGCTCATTAGGACTTGATCATGATCAATTTGATTTCCTGATAGCTAAACTTATAATTTTGTAATATAATCGTGCCAAGATAGTTTCTTTTAAACATGCTCAAAAGCAAAAGCAACCAAAAAAAAAAAA